AACTTTTCGCGGATGGAAGAAGAAGCATCAGGGATCGTGTATGAGGTGAGAAGTTTAACTAGTTCCTTTATGGTCGGAAGTTTACCTTGTTGACGGATCATCAACCACTGGTTAAAATATTTTGACCCAAAAATGGAATAGCCATTATTGCAGCAAAACGACTGCGTCGTTGGAGCCTTTGGCTAATGATCTACTCCTTCGATATAGAGTATAGGAAAACATCCGAATTTGGAAATGCGGATAAATTGTCCAGATTACCTGATCCGAAAGAGTTGCCAAGTCCACAGATGGTGGTAAATGAGGTGACTGAAAAGCAGAAGGGCAGAAGCGTGAAAAACATTAAATACAATGAGCAGGAGGTGCCAGAAACAACACAAGAAAAATTTTGCGCAAAGTGTATAAGTACGTGGTGGGGAGGGGGGGGGGATTAAAGGTTGTGCGGTAGCGGAGTGGAGACAGAAGGAATCGGATGATTGCGCTGGCTAGGAGGAAGGCGCGGTATCCGGGAAGTGATAGAGATATTCAGAGGGTGGCACAAGCCTGTGATATCTGTGCAGCATTCGGGAATGAGATGAGAAGAACACCGCTGCATTTCTGGAAAATGCTAGTAAAAGTCTGGCAAAGGTTACATATGGATTTTGCGGAGACCACCGACGGCAGGAGATGGTTGGTGTTAGTGGATGCGAAGTCAAAATAGCCCAAAGTGGTGCAAATGGGATTAAGCACTGTAGAAAAAACGATAGAAAATTTGAAGGATCTCTTTATTATCCATGGGCTACCAGAGCAAATAGTGGTCGATAATGGGATACAGTTCATAGTGAGGGAGTTTAAGGAATATTGTGGAAGAAGGAGTATTGAAATGATTTGTATCCCACCTTACCATCACAATTCCAACGGAGAGGCGGAAAGATTGGTGCAGACTTTCGAAAAGGGTTACTACAGGGTGACCCACATGAAGTGTGGCTAGCAAGAAAAAACCACTTATGGGCTTCCGGGCTGGACGACGCGATGATCCCTTGGGCGGAAAAGAACGCGATGAACGTCAGCTGAAACTTTCAGCAGGACTGGGCAAATACAGCCCCTGCGCTTTCAATACAAGTCATTGAACTCTCTGAAAATAGAGCTCTCTTGTAGCAGCGTGGGATGAAAGTGATTGCGCGCATTCTTGAAAACTCCCGAGAGAGGTTGGTTACTTGCATTTAAGCGAAAGGTGGTCATTCTGAATGTGAGATGTGATATGTTGTTCACAATTCTAAGGTGATTGTATAGAAGTTGATCTTCCCTATTTGGTTTGATTTGTATAATTTTGATGCTAGTTTTTTGCGTCACACTTCATGTGGGTCACCCTGTACAAAGGGCGGAAGGCCGGCAATAGGTTGGAGGCAACCGTGAGAGACTTATTATTTGAATATAGTGTAATGGAGCGCCCGGCGATAGGGATCTACCAGGCCGAAACGTTGATTGGACCTTCGTTGAAAACGATATTGGATTTGATGAAGGTCCCTCGAAACTCGAAATTGTCCCCACAGATGAGACAGATAAAGGGTGAGGGAAGGGAAATCTAAGGAGGGACAGCAGGTGCACCTGTGGAATTAAACTGCCGCTATGAACTGTCGTTAGCGTGGACGTAATCACAAGTTGACGCTGCAGAAAACAAATTAGAAAGTTTTCGACAAAGCACTGTTGTGATAATTCGATATTTATCAGAGCTATTCGATAGAGACGCCACCATATTGCTTTCAGAGATTAAGGACCATACTATTACACTGTCGCCGACAAGAGGTACATAGACATGTAGTTTTTACTGTAGTGAAATTTTACACTTTGGAGAGTCTACGTAAACTTCCGTTTAGTTTTCAGCATATTTCGAGGGGTTTTCCTCCTAATTTACGTTTCGCTAATATCTTCATTGAGACGTGAGCAGAGAGGGGGAAAATCTCCAAGTGCTCGCTAGAATGAATGTCATCACCGTTGCCAAAAGTGGGCGTCCAAAACAAGAAGTCTTCTCGATTCTCCAGGTCCTCCAAGTCAGACAATATCCAAAATGCTTAAAAGACGATAAGAAACCATGCTTTCCTTCTGGTAGCAAGATATATGGTTCATATGCCCGTTCAGACTTGTCCCTCGGCTCCTGCTGAGAAAATAAATCAGAACGATGGCACTAAAACCCAGGACAGGAAGCCCGAATGCTGCTCACCTGAACGGAGGACGAAACCGCTCATCGTACTCAGGTAAGCAGCATTCAGGTTTTCAGAGCAAGCAACAGATCTGTATCAATGCACTCACTCTCCTCCATCCCTCAAAAATGTTTCGGCTCAGTGAAGAGAAATATTTGTTGCAAATAAAGGCAAGCATGATATATACAATAACATAACTCTATTCCATTTTTTGATACACAATTGTATACTGAAACATAATGGGGACCACTCTTGGTCTACGCCGCTTCAGCGCACAACGGGTCCTACTTTGAAAGTGACAACGCGATGGTTAAATGTATAGGAACATTATGTTTAGCGACATGTTTCTTTGGACACTGCACAACATACCTGATCCAAAGTGTACATCGACAATCGTGAAGGCAAATTGTGAGCAGCAGGTGATCAGAGTTCCCTAACTGGCAGAACCATTTCTGATATATAATTCATACAGAAGGCAGAAAAAGTGGTGTAAAAGTCGTATCACGACTTAACATGATGTTCGTTTCGTATAGTTCAGTTACAGCAGAAAATGTGAGCAGAAATATGCCGAACGAATATTTTCGAGCGCTTTTTCTATTAGCTGAATACCAATGCTTGGCTTTATACAACCACACCACGAATAGAAGTTGCAAATCAAAAATCAGTTTTTTGCACTCAAGTCGATGGGTACAAACTCTAGGCTTGGGATCTATCTATCCAGCTTGACTTCCTGTCAAAGTCAGCCAGTTTTGTGCTCTGTGTTTTATAATATTCAGAAGCAATACAATCGAGAGATTTCTGGGAAAACATCAAACGTGAGATCTTTGCTACCGTTGCGACCCATCCCAATTAATAACTATCTTATCGAAGATGTAGGAGTGCATCTTGTTTCACACAAATAAATTCAAGCTTTTGATTTACCGGCCACCGTTTTCACATCGTCTCGACGTCCAGCGTGACGAAAAAGTATCCCACTGTAAGCGAGGTTTGAGAAACTCAAGGTCGACCACACCGAAGAGACAGACTGTTTTAGCTTTACCTATAGCTTAGTGTGGTTGGATGTAGGTGAACTAACAATTACAGACTGTTCAAGAGTGGCGCGTTGTAAAAATAAAAATAAAGGTGCTAAAGGATGCTTAGGGCTGCTTCTGATCCCCTGTACCTCTTCAGTATCCCCTCATCAGGCTGGTGGCCCTTTTAACCTATGGCAGGGTGGAAAAAGTGTGCAAAATAATCATCTTGAGCCATTTATGAGAAGCCCCAGTACACTTTTCATGGCGAAAGACCACAAAGAACTATGAGACCTTTTCTTGCTATTTTTTTTCGTCAAACAAAGCTCAGTCGTCAATCAAAAAGCGTGCCGCTATTGCCACTTCTCATGATGTTGTTTGATTTATGTTTGAAATAGGGGAACAACTATTTCTGTGAATCGCCTTCTCCATCGTTCGATTTCACAACTTCCTTTCAATCCTTTCAAAATTTTCATAGCTTATTCCAATCGCGTTAAATAATTTAATGAGAGTAGAACTGTCAGAGCGAATCCGCGCATCAAGAAATATATCTCGTCACTTTTTCCTGAGAACATCGAACAGTCCTTTCGCGTGGTTCCTTTGTTGATTCAATCTAAAACTGAACTGATAAGCACGCAGCGATAATTCAGCAGCCCTTTTAGAACATATCTATCCGACCCCATCGATCGTTCCATTGAAACATTGGTGGAATTCGGTAGAGTAGTTAGTTTTCCCGAAAAAGAGGTATGTCAGCATAGTAAAAAGGATCTGCAAGTAGCCTGTTCCACTTTCGCCGAAAGCATTACCAGGTGCGACACCACGGCGTACATAAATAGAATTGATCGCCTATGTCAACACCCAACCTATTCGGGGGTTGTGCTTTGTACTCGGTGTGAGCATTTTCTACTCCTCTTCCCATTCGGGACGTGATCATCCGAGTCACGAGAGCGCAAAGTTCGCCCCTTCAATCGCCTCCACTTTTCTCCTTCTTTACTGAGTCATCTGCAACATGCCCCATTTTATGACGTGGACGAAAAGAATGCATTTCAGTGCTGTATCATTCAAGTAGACGAGAATGATTTGGAATCACCACTGTATTGCAACCGCTCTTCGAAACTTCCAACCACCTTTTCTTTCATGGATTCTTCATTGACGATTGCATGTTTGGTTCCAATGTGCAGTTTTCCAACCTCCTGCTCACTCCACTTCGGGAAATTCTCTTTTCGTCGTGATCGTGATAAAGATATCCCTTGTTAATCCTTCTGAAATGTTTTACAGTGACGTTAACAATGTTCCACTTTGAACCGGAGCTCAATGTTTCATCTTATTTACTAACCATTTCACAGCTGGCGACGTCGGTGGAATTTCTCTTGCATAGGATTCAGTTACCTGATATTTGTCCTCGCTTTTGTTTACCTTCTTCCTTATCCAGTTGGTTTCGTCTCCGGTTTCCACCAACAGTGGGGCAGGGCGAAGCAATTCTTCTTGACATCCTTTCATTTGCCGCGAGTAGTTTTAGCTGAGTTCGTGTTCATTTTTGTGCTACTTCTCTCTTATTCAGGTTTCATCAGGCACTTTCCTTGAACATTGTTATTGATGGCCTTTTCTCTCAATGCTACATAAAATAAGCGTTATCGTTATTATCTCTTCGTTCGACAGTTACACCCCTTCTTAGCCCGGTAAGGTTGCGAAATCAGCTGCCATGCCACAAAAAGGCCTTTGCGCTCTATCGCCGGCTCGGTGAAAGTCACCGTTTCATGCCTTTCAGCCAATTCGCTTCAGCCTGCTTATCAAACAACAATGGCCCAACTATTCCACGAAGTCTGTCATGGATTCCGGTCCGCGGTTGGAGCAAACCTTTTCGGTGACCAATGAGACCGATCTAGTTTCTGTGACCACCCAGTGGCTGTTTGATTGCACTAATCCGAGGCGGGCGGGCGGCTATTGTACGGGCGGTGGTAGCGATGACGACCTTCGCCCTTCCCGCTTATTTTTCGCAGATGAACGCTACCGTCTTTGTGCACGCCGGCGACGGCTTCTCACATCACGTACTGCCATCCATCGGTTTTCTGGCATCGTTTACACCCTTTATTTTTAATTTATCATGAAACTACTCTATTCCTCAGCCACGTGAGAACAGTCCTTGCTACGCATTGATCCGACTACTTTGTTCATGCACCACCGTTCGAAATTGAATAGTTTAAAGACGCTTTGCGCGATGGAATCGTAGGCAAGTTTGGGTTTCCCCATTTTTCTCGTCGACATTGTAAGGGGCCTCGAATATGTTATTTACAGCATGTTTAATTATCGACTATGCTTACTTTCTCTTTTCTTTCTTTTTTTTCTGTGTGAGCCAAATGAAAGTAGTCTTTTGCTTGAATTATTACCCGTTGTACTGGTACTCAGATATAAACCTATAGGTTCTAGTTAGTCGAACAGCGTCAGAGAAATTCCTGTGGAAGATCATAACTTAGCAAACACCGCCACACCAACAGAGCAGTTCTGTACGTTGAATTTGCTATTTTTGCCATTTTAGATCAATAAAAGATAATAAATTAGATCAATAAAAAGGGTATTCTTTGATTGTCAATGTGCTTCTTTAGGCTATCATTGAGGCAGCCTTCCATTCTTGTTCGAGGTGGCTGGGATTCGTTATCTGTTGAAGTGACCGATAATTTTATTGAAGTTGTAGATTTTTGTCTTGCTCATGCTCGAGAAGTCTGTAAGGCTTCCGCTAATTTTCAGTGGAATGTTCTTGTTAAATTGGCGTAGAAACTGCCTCTGTATGAAAGTGTGAGCTGACTCTGTGGAAACTTTCTTTGCCTTTTGATAGGATGGCTTCGTTTCTCCTATTACTCCATTTTTATTAGTTCTGGCTTCGTTTTCACCATTTTCATCTTCCTCCTCTGTGGCAATTAAACAAGTATTTCAACTCATCCGCTGTGCCGTGGAACTCCCCTGAAGCGATGACCTGCCGATCCAAACAAAACAGGACTGCTCCACAAAGAACCCTTTTTTGTTTTCTCATAAATGAGTAGATAACGCTGTTCCTCAAGCTGTCTTCCTAGAGAACCGTCGTCATTTTCACGACTTATTTCCAAAAACTTTTATTGTTCGAGATGTTGTGCCTTCGGGCCTCCCGTTCATAATTACGCTAGGAACTATAGAGCAAGGAAGAAATCTCTACAAGTTGATGGGCTAAGTCGGAACACAGCACTTTATTTTCCCCTTTATTTTCCAACGTTGCCCCTCTGGCTATCACATGCTTCTGTCCATTCTGTCCATGAAACCTCTGCCGAAAGAAATTCAACAATTTCAATGCCATCAGTTGGAACCGATCTCTCACCTCTTCGTTTCTTTGCACTCTTGCTTCAGAAAGCTAGGAGATCGTTGGCCGAATTACTGGATTGTATTGGGTGACGATGCCAAAAGTGTAGTTTTGAATTCCAAGTATGATGGATGGCTAGTGAAGGAAACTTGCCAAATTGGCGAATCTTCCCTATAACCTTAGCTCTGCTAAACCCCATTTCGCGCTTTCTGTGCGACCGAGTCCTCAATGCCAGGGGCGTGTGACTCCATGAAGGCTTCAAGCAAAACAACGGGTGGGGGAATGAACATCATGGTTCTCCATCAGAGGTGATCTTTCAAACTTCTGCAGTTTGCTCATTGCAATCGTCGTTTGTGGGTAATATATAGATGGATTTCCCTCCCGGTACAACCATAAAATTAGTTAATGGCACGCCTTCCTTCTCTCTGTCTGTGACTGCTCCCTTCCGTATTCCCGTGTTTATGACCGCCTGAAGACAGACTAGTTCTATTCGCAACATCTACGTGACCCAGGCCCCTCTCCTTTTGTCGCAGCTATGGTTTTGTTGTGTTTCTTGTTGGTCCCATCGTTATTTGCAACTTCTTGTGTGTAGTCGCTTGGCTCGAGCTCTATGTTTCACTGCTCTGGTTGGAGACGTTCTAAAGTTACAACATGGGCCTCCATTAAGGCAGTCTTTTTGCTTGCATTCATTTGGATGGGACTAGTTCTCTCATATGAGTTATGCTTTTCTTTAACCATCGCCTTTGGATGATCTAGCGCTCCAGTCTCTTCGATTCAACAGAATGACACCACGACTTGGTTTCTTCCCAAGGGCTAGCAATCGCAACAGCAGAACGTAACGTGACACTTCCCCATTTTATCCATCAAGCGTTTGCTGTCGCCTGTGCAAGCCTTTATAGCCAGGTTTACTTTAACATCAGCGGGAGGGTCCAGGTGTTGGAAGCACTTCAGTATTTTAAGTGCTTTTCCTCAGCGACAACCATACATTCCGCATTTTCCTTAAAGCTGTGGAACATGCACTCTTTACTATCAACAATGGTTCTTTCTCTTATAGTGCTCCCTGCATTTTGTTCCTTCCAGCCATTATAATGAAAAAGGATCCGATTCTCACACGCCAGAATCTTCTTCCCCATAGGCGTCATTACTGACGTTCAGAGCAACCTAGAGTGATACAGATTTGGTACTAATTCTCATTGTACCACGGCCACGAGTTCTACAGACGTTTCTTCTCTTTTAGCTTCTTGACTGGGTAATTCCTATAACTTGCGAGATCATTTGTTGTTCTTTCAACTCGAATAATTTCCTCATTCTCATCATTCCAGTCACTATAGCAAAAGCCAAGAGTATTCTTTCGTGAAACATGAAAGCGAAGTGATTCTCAAGAGAAACATTCACTGCCCTTGAAAAGGTTTGATCAAACCTGCGTGCTGAACTCAAATGATAGTGGTGGGAGATGGCAGGTACGCAAATGCTTGCGAGTCATCGAAATTGAGGGATTGTACGGCTTTGTGGACGGCGCGATACACCGATGTTTCGATAGGTCATCATTTGTTTAGATGGTGAGGGACAAAATAAGTTCCAAGGAAGCTTTCCCACGCCAAATCGTTCCTCTATGAGAGAGAAACCCGTTCTCACCTACAAACGCTCTCGACTGCATATTCTAGGGGACGTGTTCATTGTGTTTCATTGTGTTCATTCAGAATCAGGCGATTTCACAGCTGACGACAGGGGTCTAAATAGTACCATAAAGAAACGGCTAAAGGTATTTTGAGGCTGTTTTCGCACAGCGAGAAATGGCAGCGACAAGTTAGACACGGAGAAACAGACACCCTCGTTGAGCTTAAGGCGATATTAGTAAGCAGGGAATGCAAAATAACACACAAACCAGTTTGTGTCATCCTCTTCCATTCTCTAAAATTGACTGCGATAATGAGAACACTGAACCACCTCTTCGGTTGCTTCCTACGTTTATTTGCGATTTGACGACCAATTACCACCCCAACATGCTTTGCTGAGCGCCGTGACCTACATTCAGCCCATTGTGGAAGTGGTTTCAGAAGAGAAATGGGTTGGAATTGGCCTCATTAACAAAGATTACTTCTTGAACGACTGTAAACCATGGCCATGATCTGGGATACTTCGGATTTCATCAGAAGATGTGGAACTTAAGGGTTTGACAACACCAGATGAGGGGATCGTGGTTCAAAACTCATGGCAAGCTGTGTTACGACAAGGTCACAGTCTTCGACTTGCGGAATGTAGAATGGATGTTAACCACACCTATATGAACAGAGAGTTATTCATTAGATCTTGGTGAGCGTTATGTTTCGTGTTTAGTGAATTTTATACAGTCATCTTTAACCTCAAGGATATGCCTAAAATGCAACGTAAACACATCCTCCTTTTTCCGAACTCCAGAACATTTCTTAGCAGGCTCGGGGAATTTTTTGCTTTAGCTCCTCCCACCCTGACGCACGCGCCGCCTACCATAAATTTTTGACTCCTAGTGCTTTGTAAGTCTCTACTTCACTTTCACTGTTGCAATTTTTTCCTGGTCTGTAAAGCTTTTTCAACGGAGCCAGGATTTTTTTTCTATTCAGGACCTCTAGATGTGAACATGCTCAGCCAATCAAGGTGAGGGTCCTTTTGATCGAGCATACAGAACGTACCTTAGATCTTGCCCATTTCAACCATTCTCCCTGTTCTCTAGGCTGCTTTCTAACCTAATTATGAATTGTCCAATATGTACTGCTCATTTCAAACATTCCACCCGACGCTGACGGCTTTCCTTCGCCTCCCTCCGTAGCCTGGCCTCATCTGTACTCATTTTCCAACGGTGTCTGATTTGCCCAGAAAAATCGTAAAAGCTCCACAAAGCTCACAAGTGCTATGTTCATCACCCATCTCAAACTTGAACCAGTTCCACCGGGTGGTTCTTAAGGTATAACTGGAATTCGTGACAAACAGATGAGCAGGTGGACAGAGCGCTCTATACGAACTTATGTTGTAAGAAACCTACTTTTCATCATTTACTTTGAATTTCCGAGCGTACTTCACAACTATTACTGTTGCTTTTTACTTTGATTTCATTGTAATTTAGTATTTAACAACTCGGGGAACATTTTGCTGTTGTCATCTCTAAGGCCCCTGCGAAACGTACTTGGGGGTTGCG